AGCTTTTCGCAAATTAAATCGCTCCCTCGCTATCCGAAGACAGCTGACAGTGCCGTGTGGAATAATACACACGTGTTGGAAATAACACCATACGGATTTAATCTCTCCAAGGCTCGTACCAACCACCAGGTATTGATGCCAATCAATGATGTGTCAAAGCATATTCTTGTATCAAGAATTTGCACTTTGTGCGGGTTCTGGTTCGCGTAACTATACCGCTGGGTGTAAGCAATCTTGTTGCTTATCGAGTACGATAGGCATACATACGGTGTTCGACAGTCTTAAGACTGTTTCTGTGACTCATTATTAGTGTCGTCGAGTTGCGACCCTCAATTCCACTTGAGACCGGTTGACTTGACATTTCCTCGCCAGCATTTGACCCAACCAAATGCTGGATAGCAACCTTATTGTTTGGATGTGCTATTCCTTTCACCGTTTAGACACTTTGGAAATGTATCTTTTGTTTGCCTTCGGACTTCGTATACTTTTTCGCTCAGTACTTTTCTTATTCACGCATTTTGCTAGCTTGGGACACAACGTGTCTGGCCTTGCATTGTGCTTTGCGCGATTGTTTGTACTCGGATCCCTACCTCTTCGTCGACGCCAATATGGATGCCCTCTCCTCTGGGTGAGCGGAGAGCCCGGGGTTGTGGTGGCCATGTCCTGCCACCGGAGGTTGGCTATTTCCTTTGGTCCAATGTGGCGAGGAATTCCAAGCGTGGCCGAGCGAACTCCGTCAAGCTAGGGTGGTGCGGAGAGTGGGCGAGCCTTCGTGGACTCCTTTTCTAATTCTCATAGATATCCATCAACTCTTCGTAGCCATTGGGGATCACAAGAGTTGGGGACCCTCGGAGAACAGTAATCTATTAGTCTATTACATATTCCCTCAGATCCTGCTCTTCATGTACCTGTATCTGTGCTCCCTAAATCTCCATATCCTGACCTCCACAATGAATGGCTGTTCAATCCACCAGGTTGAAGTTGGGACAAGAACTTGGATGTTGACTATAGATACGTTTGAAAACAAACGCAAGAAGGGCACTCTAGCAACTACACAACAGACACACACGACCAATCGAAAAACATAAATCGTCGATCCTTGCACAGGGCGGCGTAGTAGTAGAGGCTGCTCAAAAAATGCATGTCACGCGTCTACCTCCACACGCTTCCTTTGAAAAAAAGAAAAGAATATTCGCACTACTCTACATTCTAGTCAAAAGAGCCTGAGCGGTTGGCGCTCAAATAGTGCCGGTTTTCCTATGAACCTGGTCCGTTGTAACTATTGTTTTATCACTAGAGGACACCCATTACCAAAAGAAAGTATATCCGTTGACCAGACAGAATAAAATGGCGTATATTGGTGGAACAGTTCCGGATTGTAGCTTCATAAGCTGTTCGGAAACCTGGGGTCGCGAGGGGAAGAAATTCGAACCCCCTTCCCTGCCGTTCCATCGAGATGAGGGCGCGACGACGTCGTGTAGCATACCGAGTAACGAGCGGAAGCTACAGAGCGTGCGAAGAGAAGGAAGGACAGCAGTGGCTGCGCAACGTAGGAAGCGGCAGTAAAGCAAGAATCCCGCCCTCGCATCCTTTTTCTTTCGAAGGTGGGCAATAAGCTCGGGAGGGAGTATTCGGTTTCTAGTTGAGGTGTTGTAGAATTTTGGGGCTTGGTCATTTTCGGGACTCCCACGTTCGCAGTCGTGGTCACCCGGCTGGATTGTTATTTACCGGGAGTGAAAGAGTCATCGACGTGCCTTGTAGTTTATGATGTGGCTGGCGAGACGACGGGCTTTCCGTGTGTCTCACTCCCCAACGTCTCACAGAAACCGAAGAAATATCATGAAGCAATTCGAAAGAAAATAATAATAGTTTTCTTTTGTGAAAAGTGTGGCCCGTTAGGGGTACGCTTTTTGTTTTGTTGTTTTGCAAAAAAAAGCTGTTTAGAGGGATCGTGTGGGGAGTCTGTGCGCACGAGAAAAAGAATAATTTTCATGTCCAGGGGCGTGAAAATTACTCCATGGCTGTCTGTCTGGTGTCTGTCTGGTGTCTGGTGTCTGTCTGCGCGCCCTAAATACCCAGCAGACTCGAGCCCATTTCACCATCTCGGCACCAAATTGCAAACTAAAACTTGCGCACAAGAAGTAATATTTTGCCCGAGCTGTCCCAACCGCTTCCTTTGCAATCCGTGGTCGGTGTCTCGATATAGCACACCGTTTGTGCAAATATATATGTCACATGGACGCATCCCCGGGAGGCGTCGTCATTTTTGTTTTTCTCTGGGCAACAAACTACACGCACGCAAGAAACCCGACGCACTGCCGTGCTGCACACATTGCTAAGAGCTACAGCAAAAAGTGGAGGAGATCGTCCAGCAACGAGTGCAAGCCGAACTCGAAGCCAACAGGATAAACGAGGGTGAAGTCACCTACGCCCCACCACCTGCCGGCAACCCGGTCCCACCTACCGGCAGCCAGCCATCAACCTCCAGCCAGGGAAAAACACCTTCCTTCAACGACCCCAGCAGCGTCGCACACATCGTGGCGCAAGCGGCCAAGGCGACAGCTGAGGCCATCGCTGAACAACAGGGCTTTGCCCGCTCAGGCACGTTACGTGTAAATCCAGGCTCAGAAATCGAACCTTGGCTTGGTAGTGTGAAGAAGGAGCAGGATCTGTACATTATGTTTGATATTTTTCGTGGTAAGATGATTTCATATTTTCAGGAGGAGGGTGTGCACGATGCGTTGGAACTGGAGGTTGAGGTCAAGGTCGGGAAAAGGGGTGTGAATGTAGGAGACCTTCGGAGACTTTTTGGTAATGAAGTGGTAGACAAATCTTTCAAAATGTGGAATATCCTTATCAGCAAGGTTTTGTATCCCCCGATTCAGAGCTTGATTCTGGCGTGTGAG